ATTGGTATCGAAAATATAGTTTTAGCGTTTTAAGAAAAACCACCACGTAGAAATATTCACCAATAAGGGTTCATTCTGGAAATAAATAACTCAATTATAAGCATTTGTTTGGTACTAATCATTTTTTAATGGTACTTGAATTAGTCAAACTCAATATGGGAAAGATATAAATTGATTTTCAATTCATTTATTTCTGATTGATAGTTTGAAGTTTTTATAAAAAAAAATATAAACTTTTTTTTTTGAAATTAATATATTGGTTGAATAGGAGTTTTTAATAATAAATGAGTGTGTTAAAATGCAACACTATATTTATAAATGTAAATTCTGGATGAAAACATTTTCACGATTTTTCTCTGTATCTCATTTTTTTTTTTTCATTTATGCCCTTGATATAAAGAAAAGGTGCACTGTTTGGAGGCGTAGTCATTAATGAGTTTGGGTGTTGTGGGAAACTGAGCTACATTTTCTAAAGAATCGAATCCCTTCATCACTATCCCGTGGGTCTCCTCCGGTGAGGAGAATTTAATGAGACAAACATTAATTCACACTGTCATAAAAATAGAAAGAAGTAGTAAACAGGAGATTAAAATTTAAAATTTTAAAAGTGGTCTTGTGATTAAATACTTAAATTAAATAGGTTGTAATGACTTGCGCCAAATTTTGTTATTTTAATTACTTTGGCGACTTTTTGCCGTCATCATCAGCACATATAAACATACATTACAAAAATCAACATTCTTAAGAATAATCGATGTATTATCAAAACTAACATATATATATATATATATACATAAAAATGTAAATGTTCGTTTGTTCAAAACCGCTAATATCCGCAAATTACTTACCGATTGTAGGATTCAGGAGTGTTTTTATATACATTCAATAATCATCCGACGTTTCGGAAAGGTGGCGGAAAAAAGAATGTCGTAAACAGCTGTAACAATTTTAATTAAACTTGGATAACGTCTTTTCCTTGAGCCTTATTGTATAGCCTTAATTTATGTATTGTATATAACATGCTTCCCTGAAGAGAGTATGAAAACAAAGTTGCGATGGATTCTGAACTACAATATATTTGTGAATAACACAAAAAGTATAAAATTTTGATAATACCCATGCTCATTTGAAGGTTTCCTGAATTCTCTGTAAAATGAAAAAAAAAATACTAAAATAGATGGATTTAGTGCAGAGATTTTTACATTTAGTACTATTTCTGGGGAGATTTAGAGAAGGATTGCTTATCAGCGAATCCTAGAGTTGGAAAACCAGACATTCTATATATCTATACAAACAACAACAAATATTGTATATACAAAAGTATTCTGAAATTATATATATTAAAAACATCTGCTTTCATTTTTAATTATTTTTCTATTCAACCAGGATAAAGCACAGCAACGCTTGGCCAGGTATAGGTAGCATTTAAATAGTGATTATCAGAAACATTTGTTATTGTCTTATATAGTACTGAGACAATTATAGAACAATACGAGATTGTTATTGTCCTTTATTTAGTAATTTTAGTTATTATTTTACTTTTTTTAATTTTATGTTTTCTACATATACGGTGTCAATTTGTTCATATATCACTATAATTATATTGTTATATTGTTCATATATCACCGTAGTTATTATTTTACTTTTGTTAATTTTATCTTCTTTGTATATATGGTGTGAATTTGTTCATATATCACTATAATTACTGTCCATGTGATAGATTATTAAAGTTAAAAAAAATAATATATATATATATATATATATATATATATATATATATATATATATATATATATATATATTAATATGCACTTTTACTAAAAACTACTAAATTATTGACGATATAATATCACCATTAATAAAATAACATGAGATTGAACAATTTTATGTTCAGTATCCAAAATTTGATATATGTATTCGTTTGTTTAATAATAACTGACCACCCAGGAGGATTAATTATAATCGAATCCTATTTTACTGGCCTAATTATATTGTATTTAGTGTATTATTATGAAGCCAAAGTATATAAGTTCACAATATTAAACTGAAGACAGTAAAAATACATTTTTTTTTTTTAATGGTTTGTTCAAGTCCCTCATAGAACAATTACACATCAGATTTTGTAAAATATCTCATTTATATAAAAATTAGAATTAAGGTTGTATCTAAAAATTTAGATTTTGATTTTTATAATCCTGTGGCCGTCAGTATAATAATAAAATAAAATCATTGTAATGTATATAAAAAAATGTTATACCTCATATTTAAATTGCAGCATATTCTAGAAATATATATATTCTATTTATCAACAAATATAAAAATTAAATAAATTTTTAAAACACATCGTAAGTACTGAAATTTTATATATCATAGGTTTATTTAAAAAAGTCATATTTTTTATGAAGCCAAACTTTTAAGAACGATTTGGTGTATTTTGACTTTATTTGTCGCTTTAAAAAAAACCTAAGTGCACTATATATAATTACCATAGCAAGATTTTTGCAATTTTGCAAAGAAAAACCAAACATCTTACTGATTTAATGAAATGTAATGACTTATAATGAGTTTGTGCAATAAACCGACGATATTATAGAATTAAAAAAAAAATCTGGTGGCGCAACACACAACTTTCACTTACCGCTCTACTTTGAATAGAAATTATTTTCTGGCAATGCTGCGCTATTATAGAATTTTTGAAATGCATTTAAAATGGAGATAAATCTTAATGCTTACAGATAACTAATCATTAAGACCATTAAAATTACAAAAAGTCTATTTATTATATCGATGGTAGGCAATAAAAATCTAGTTTTATAAAGCACATAACTTCAGTCTCTGAGCCTTTCAGCTGACAGAATGACTAACTCCAATTTCAATATTTTTTCAGAGTAGGTGATTGATTGCAGTCTTGAAATATAGAACTATGAATAAGGTAAAAAATTTTGACACCAGAAACATCACTAAAATTAATAATAAATAATAGTGAAATTGGTGTTTGTTATTCTGTCTTCGGAAAAGCTCATATATGCAAAGAGAGATTTAAAAATATTTCTGAATATTTAACCTTCAAATGATTATGGATTGTAGGACTATTAGTTATTAAACTGATATTTTCCATTGTAAAGATTACTAAAATGAAATACGAGATTTTCATTTCCTGCTATGGATAGGTCAAAAGGGAAAATTTATCAAATGATTCACTAATTTAATTTTCTAAAAGGCTACTTGATGATTTTTTGGAACCAACGGCCAATAGATACCTAATTATTTAAATATATCATTTATATTATATTTAAATAATTAGGTATCTAGAGTTATTAAACTACAGCAAATGAATTCATTGTTATAAAGATATCCATGAAATATTTTTATATTTCACTTCTTCTTTCACACAAGTACAATGAAATAGAATTTTAAACATTGGCTTGATTTGGTGGGTTATAAATACTTTTTTTTTTTAAATCTTAGAAAAACATTTAAAAGTTTACTTAACAACAGTTGACCAACATATAACGACCCTTTATCAACGATTTTACATAAATTTAAACGCACATAACAGACTAATAAGAGACAGGACCACAGCTGACATACCTCAGAATATGAGAAGGAGACTAAAAAGGCGTTGGGTGAGAGATCTCCTTCCTTAGACAACCTAAGTAATTGGAACAAGTTAGGGAAGAGGTTCTGCTAAGTACTTTCTTTACCCATGCCTGTCATGTCATTATTTCATGTTTCACCATCACATTTGCTGATTGTCAACAGGAAGTTGGCAGGCGCAAATTTATATTTCATAGACAAAAAAAAGTTTACTTATAGTAAGAAAATTTCATTTGATTTCGTTGGAGATATGTGATTTACGTTAAATAATGTTAGTTTTCTGACATTATTATTTATAATGTTTTGGCCACACTCCATTACCTTTTACAACTTTCTATATTAGCTATTGTTTTTTCTAAAATTCTTCACTTTCCAAGGATATATTATACGTATACCTTCTTACTGGTATTTCCGGAGATTCATTTTCGACCTGGATAAGTACTTTTATTGTTTTCTCCTTTATTAAATTATCAAATTCTTTCAAAAGTTATATTTAGCATTTTTTTGTAACTCTGAATAACTTGAGATGATTACTTTTTTTAAATAATCCATATTAAGGGTACTTAAGAGGAAGCCGTATATGAACACTGGGCATTTAAGCTCTGTGACATCAATGGGGATAAGACCTGACTGATATTAAATACCACTTCATTATACAATGATGCATCGAGCTTAATTAAAATCGCCAGAGCCCAATACAATTTGAGAAAATTGTAAAAATGTATTTAATGTAGAGTTGAAATAAAGTGGTTAGCCGATTTTAAGGGAAAGGTTACTGTCACATCTAATGTATATGCCTGTCTTAAATACGTAAAATAAATTTCTAAGACTTTTCGTTTTCGAGCTAGACTGCTAATATACAGACATACAGACCATTTTTCGGGACTTGGTTATTTGGACTCAGGGTACCCCAAAACGTGTATTTCCGTGGAAACTCAGATTTAAAAATTTTCACAATCAGAATACTAACACTTACTGCATATTACATATATAGGTAAGTGAAAATCATTAATATTTAAAAATATAAACATTTTATAATTGGTTTTTAGGAATGAACAAATATATGACAGGAATAAAGGACGGAAGTACAAAACGAGTCACAAATGCTTAACCGAACCGTAAAATATACCCCTATGCCGTAAGGAGTTCCTTCATGCGATTTGAAATTTCTAATTCGGCTATGAAAATTATGTCACATTTAGAAGCATTAATTACAAAATCAAAAGCATAATAAGCAGTTTTTAAAGCATAACAGTGTTTAAAAACTAAAGATTTTTATATGGTACAGGCACAGACAAATACAGTGAAAATACCAATATTGTTGATTATAGAGGTCAAGATCTTATATCAAAACTAAAAGAACATGAAATGTATCCTAAACCACTCACTATTGTTGTTTGCAGAGTATTCTTCGTGCGCACGGTAGAATGGTCCAAGGAGACGTGCAGTACTCCAGAGGAGAGATCCAGATGGCCAATATCAACAGGAGTCCAACTTCATACTTGAGAAATCCACCTGAAGAAAGAGCCAGGTACTTTTACCTTTAATCAATAAACTGTTACGATATGGAAGGATTTATGTTTTGTGGAAAAATTAATTTAAGAAACCAATACTACAATAATAAAAAAATCCAACTCTTTACGAAAAATATGAGACTTTACATGATCCCCTAATGAGAATGGGATTAAATGTGAATAATAATTTTTAAATAAATACGAATAATAAAAATGGAACTGAGTTAATAAATACAAAAGAAAAAGTACAGCAGAGAAATTATTGAAGGAAGCTAGTCGACTGTTCTACATATTATGGGTGATAAATATTCAGGAAGCAGTCTTTTAAACACAAATTTTAATTTTTTATTTGTGCCAAGTTTCAACCCAAACATGTGAGTCATCTTCAGGGCGTGGTTCGAGCACTGAAGGCTTACAAGTACTGACCAGTACTTGTAAGCCATTCATTAAGTCAGTACTTAAAAGCCTTCAGTGCTCGAACCACACCATGATGATGACACACATGTTTGGGTTGAAACGTTGGCACAAATAAACATTTTTTTTAAAGACTGCGTCCCGAATATTTATCACCCATGATGCAGTAGAGGAAGGTTATATTTTTTAGAAACTTAAAATATAATTGTTGTGGGTCTGTAACATTAGATCTTTCGTCGCAACTAAAGGGGTTCATTCTAACAACAATTGAAAGACATCATATAAATAAATAAATAATGATATCCTATACAAAAGGACTTTAAGAGAGAGTAATACAGAATTAATTCCTTTTTAATTTCAGTTTTAATCTAGAGACCTAATGAACTCGATAAGAGGCTTAGTTTGGTAGCAGACATATCCTCTTTATTGCAAGGTCATGTTCTTCTACCGTTGACATTAAGACTTTCGAGAACGTATGTGGTCACGTTGCTTTTATCACATCAAAATTGTAACATATAACCTAAGTGATGGTAAATGCAGTGTAAAAAAATATTTTTCACTGTGATTTATACAAACTTATCTAACAAAACACAATCAGTTAATGAACGGACGGGAAGAAAACACCTGAGAAATTAATTAGCCAGGAACAGCTACTCTCTGTAATTAGCACTTGCGATCTGTCTGTGTTAGCTCGGTCAGCTTGTTTCGGGTTTTATCAGCGATCTCGGTTGTGATCATTGTTGTATGAATGTCCTTAGTCGTTTTTTTAGCGGGTCTATATATTTCGTATAAGGTCGATAAGTATAGATAATTGGCCTGCAAGCTTGTTCGATGTTTGAATATGTTTTTGGTTGAAAGAAATTGTGGTTTTTATACGTGGCTCCTTTAAGAAGTCTTAAAGTATTTTATACAGTAGTAAACCCATGGCTTCCTATACTACAGTATCCTCTAATAATAACCCACTTATCAGTATTGAACAAATCCTATACCTAGGACTCCACCTTGAAGAACGTCTAACTTAGAATTCTCATACCAGACTGAAACGACAAGGAACTGTGCGACGTTTCCAGTATCGGCAGCACTTAATATTCGAATGATTTAAACTTCCAATTAATTACAAGATAATCATTTACATGACAATAATAAGGATTATTAAAGTAAATAGACATTTTAAGATAATTTTTCAACATTAATGTGAATCACAACTTAAGTTCTGACGGTTGATCTTTGCAAATGAGTTTAATTGACATAAAATTCAGTCCTTTACAAATTTCGTGTTTATATCCAGTTAATTAGTATATTATTCATGAAATATTTAGAAAATTCTGACAGCATATTTTGTACCAAGCACTCTTGTTATGGGGTCGATATGTTTTTTTATCTAATTAAACATCCAAAATATATTCTTCACAGTTACAGTTTTGATTTTTTAATATCCACTTTTAATCCACAATATTCCCTATTTTATTTTTTAATAGCTATATTTAAAACCTACTCACAAATGTTTATAAATCATTCTAACAACTAGTTAAAATTTGCAATTTTTATACTTTTTGTGATATAGTTTCATCAAAATTCATAATTATAATTTTGTGTGATATTTATGTTGTTATTTTATCACATGTCCTACAGTATCCTTAAACAATTAAATATTTATCCCTGTTGATCAAATCTGATACCTAAGATACTAACTGGATAAACGGAATTCTAACTATTTTGGAATCCTTATATGAGACTAAAACGACAAGAAACCGCTTGACGTTTCTGACTACTTCAGAACTTACTAGACAAACGCTCTAAGCATCCAATTACTTACAAAAGACTCACATGCATGACAATAATAAGGCATGTTTGGACTTACGTAATTGATCTATGGGGCTCCACTAAGGGCTCCTTACAATCCAAAATCCTTTGTAAAATCCACAACTACGCTTACTTTTTAACAAATAAAATCATCCATAACGACCTTAATGATTCTTAGGTTTCAGATCTGGTCCAGTCTAGACACATATCCTTCTACAACAAACTTTAGAACCATCACAGCTCTCTCGTTTCTAATCTTGCTTCCTCTCCTTTTTTATTTTTTTAATTTAATGAAAATTCATTTTTATTTTACTTTATATTAATCTAATTAAAACCAGTTATTCTCTTTTGAACGTAAAAATAAAATAAAAATTGTCTCATCTAACACTAGGTTAATTTTAGCATCGCAACGTTACCGATCCAAATATAGCCTAAGTTGCCCTCAACGAACCTTAACTCGACTGCAGAGGGCGTCTGATTACATCAAGCCCCGCCAGATTGAAATCTAGTTATTGAATGAGGGTCCTCGTTCCCATTCATTATCACGAGAACTCCTTCAATTCGCACTCATCTATTATCGACAGTTAACAATAAAAAAAAATGTTTATGTGTGCAAAAAAATGTATCAACATTAATCAACGATTCCAAAACGCATTTTCCTTTCAATATATTCTATTTATTTTGTCTGATTGTATATGAGTACATTAAAAAATACAGATTTAAAGTATATTCCATAAAAAAATATAACAAAAGTATCTTATTAGGTTATTAATTAAAACCAAAATCTGACTAAATTCTACCTATTACTTACCAATTCATAAGGCTCTATAACACAGATTTCATAATAATACCTACACTGTCATTCTATCAAACTAATACAAGAATAACTGAATCCCCCCCCCCCCCCCCCAGAAATAATAGGGGACTAAAAAATATGCTGAATGAACGATCTTACTGAACTTACTTCTGTTTGCCATTATTTTTTAAACTTTTAAAGCTAGATGATTTATAGTTTTTCGAAGAAAAATCAATGAAAAGCATTTCATAGAAATTAAAACGTGTAGAAAAATTATAAACAATATTTCTAAATTCGTTAAAGTTGTATTTGAATAAATAAATAAAATGTGAACTCTATCATAAAAATCATTTAATATTTTTAGTTGTAGAAGAGCAATTTAGTTTAAACACGAGTTTAGTTTAACTTATAATTAATTAATGAAATCTAACCAATGTTCGCCCAGTGATCGAAATTTGACTATAACTATATTTAAAAATTTGAGGAAAACATAGGAATTTGTGTTTTCAAAATTTTGTCTTCTAATCTTATTTATCATATTAACGTATTACACACACACACACACACACACACACACACACACACACACACACACACACACACACACACACACACACACACACACACACACATACACACACACACACACACACACATATATATATATATATATATATATATATAGAGAGAGAGAGAGAGAGAGAAAATGTATTCCATATATAATGTTTTTACAATTTTTTATTGATGCACTAAAGCTAATCAACACAACTATAATACAATGAAACATTAACATCGGTTAAGAAACAAAGGAGAAAAGGCACTGAACTGTTATGCCTTTGCCTATTCATAAGATGATAGATCAAGAAAAAAAAAAATCATTTAGTGTAAAATAAAAAATTTTCACAATATAATAATCATCCATCAGTCATTAATAAAATATTAATTTATCTTGTTTGTATCATTGAGATTACAGTGGATAGCTTAAATTTATTGTAATCTGACCGAATACTAGCAGCAATAATAAACACAAAATTATTTATTAAAATTGAGAAGAACATGTATATAGTAAATAAAACTATATTAATTAAATATATTCCAGACATGAATAATTAACTTAAAAAGTTAAGATGATTAGTGTCCCAAAAGTGAGCAGATAAAACCAAGAGCCTGGCAGAAGCAGGCTGAGGTATACTATTCCGCAATGCCTGAGTGTGATGCACAACTTTTCAACAAGGGGCTATTAATTTGGTTCCATAATAATGTTGTGATTACTAAATAATAATACAAAATAAGACAATATATTAATTAAATAATTAATATAATAAGACAATAATAATTATTGTATTACCTCTATTAATTTAGGTATCAGTTTTTTTAAAATTTATTAGGAGAAATGACAAAGTTCAAACTATAACGGACTCATGACATAATAAATATTTCCACTCTTGAAATTGATATTATTTAATTGAAAAACTCCTCACCGATAATGTTATTACTTATTTATGACGAGTTTTATGTATGACGGGTTATTTTTTATGCACTATCATAAAATATTAAATAGCTAATCCATGATTTTTATTACAGAATGGCAGGTGTAGTGGTCCGTGGTACAGACCCCTTTTTATCGAATTGTTAACATCCGCTTGAAACTTCGTAAATAGTTTCATCACATCGTAACCTACAACTATTTTATTTACGAAAACTCTTGAAATTAGAACGTCCATTTAATTAGGTACTTAATTTGAACACAAAATCGATAAAAAAAGTGATCTTCAATATTGAGCCGGCTGGCGTGACCTACACTCCACAATTTTCAAAATAACGAGGTTATATAGGACAAACGGCCCAGTATTTTTGTATTCCACCTCTTTTGTCGATTTTGTGATGAAATTATGTTACGAAGTAAAAATGAAATGGGTATTTACGAGTTTTTAGGACCTAATTGAATAGACAAAGTTTTCTCCCTTCCAGATTGAAAACGCCCCAATTCCAAGATTTTTCGTAAATATGATAGTTGTAGGTTACGATGAGATGAAATTATGTACGAAGATTCAGGTGGATGTTAATAATTCGATAAAAAGAGGTCTGTATCACAGACTATAGGTTCTTGTATAATCTGATGTATAAACTTATACATAATATTATAATAATAATATCAAATTATAAATTTTTACTATCGATTTCCACTGTTAACATTAAGCTTTTAAAGTCTACTTTAATGTTATCAATATTTTTTTATCAATTAACTGTAATCTGTAATTTAAAAAACAAATTCATTTCTGATTTTGTGTAAATAAAAATTTATAAAAAGATTAAAACTTTGGAAAAATGTAGTGAAATCTAGGTCTACTGAAAAACTAACACATATAGAAATAAAAACAATATACAAAGGACCTAAGAGAATTAATAAATAAGAAATTATAGGATGGCGGTAAAACCCTGATATTTTTTTCTGACTTCAAACAATAAAATTTTCACCAACTACATCTATGTAGTTAACCGTTAAAAATTGTATGAACTACATTGATAAGCATATATATATATATATATATACTCATATAATATATACCCAGATCAAACCAGTGTAATGTATTACTTCTTCATCATAGTTAACCTTCAATTCTCCTTCATCTGCTTCCAACCACTAGATTTTTTTTCTAGTTATTATAACTACCTGAAGCATTTTGTGCAATAAATTACCTTATTTAATCTTCCCAGAAATCTTAAAATCATTGCCTTTTCAAACAAATCATAAAATTCTTTATTCACAGATACGCATCCGACGTGGACAAGACTTTCTCTCAGCTCAAGTTCTTCAGAAAGGACGGTTTACCGTTGGGAGTCATCACATGGTTCGCAGTGCATCCTACTTCGATGAACAACACAAATAAGTTGGTGTCAAGCGACAACGTGGGCCTAGCATCCATCATGTTCGAGCAAAGGGTCAACAAAGAATTCACCAACTTGATTGGAAAGGTAATGTTTAAAAATTCATTTACATTTTTTATTTTTTTTTATTTTTTGCAAAAAAAAATAATAGTGGATTCCAAAGTTCTTTCCTGAGATTAAATTCACCGATCAAATAATCCGATTTATATAAATATATATTCCTTTAAAAAAAAATGCCAATTTATGGAAGGTATTAAGTCAAATGTTTTCTATAGGAATAATAAATAAAAAACAATGAGTCATTACACTCGTATACATCAAAGATTCCTTAATAGATAAACAGTAAACGCTAGTGGCTTCAATTGACATTTTTATAAGAAATAAATTTTAAAATTTCCTTAAACTTAAAAATGAAAATTTTAAAATTCCCATGTTGGCCTTGACAATGATGCCAAAATCAATTTAAAACATGAATGTTTATAATGTGTGTATTTTTTCAAAAAATCGGATAGATACCGAATCCGACCAGTGTAACTAAATACAACAGTGATTAAAAACCACAACAAAAACAAAATTACTTTCTTTTTCACCTTTTAGATTTCAAGATAATTTTTAAAAAAATAACTTAAAACTATCTTTGGAACAATACCAATACCATATTTTTAATTCCGTTTTTTTAAAATTTAATTTTCTTAAAGATATTCTAAATTATATATATCTGACAATATTGTATGTTGCTGGTATAGCCTTAACTTTTATATAAATATAATTTTTTTTTCTATAGATGCTTTAGATTTCTGCTAAGAGTCAAAGTATTTGTATTGCTGTTAGCTATCTAATAAAATATTTAATTATTTTTTTCAATAATTGCGCCTAATCTATAGCTAACGAATAAAAATTAATGATGTTTTTCAATAATAAAATGTACGTTATAATATTTTTTTCGTATATTAATTTTGTATATCCTGAAAACTTAAATATAATATATAAAAACTTTATAATTGTTAGTATTTATTGCATAAAAAATTAACGAAGAGTCTAGCATGAGCAATTAACAGACGCAGAGAAGTTTTCTTGACCACATGCTCGATTTTTTCGATTCAAACTATGCATTAAAAAAGATTGACTTTAATTTTGATTTAACTAATTAAAAGATATTTTAGTGATTCAGAAATTGTATAATTTTTTAAACTTTCTTTTCTTATTACGTTAGAATTAAATTGCCAGATACTTAAATTATATAGGATAGAATATATTTCAGTACTAGTCCACTTGTTACACTGATTCAAATGTTGAATAAACATTTGAATACGCATGACCTTTATATTAACTCAAATCTACAGTATCTTCTGTATGTTAAATAGTTACTGCGGTATGTGCTAGAAGACTAATAGTAGCTATTTTACTATAAATTTATGTACTAATAAAACATTGACTGCTACCGTTATCACAGATTTTACAACAAAACTAAAAGACTAATATCCGCCAGGGAAAACTCTATTAACTTTAAAGATCCTAATATAAAAAGTTTACGCTTTGACCTGATATCTTCTTAAGTAAACTAATTTGGGTCTAACTTCAACAAATGGTGGTTAAAATAATAAATAAAAACCACATGTAAAAATAAATTAAAGACAAACTTAGAAAGAGTTTAAGGACTTACTTTAGTCACACCAACGTAAGTAAACTTCAAAAATATAAATGTTACTGCAAAAAATGACAATAGAAAAACATCAAATAATTCAATTGAAAATACCAGTACCTTACAATTCTTGAAGGGTCTTGGGTTTGGTGCATTGTTAGGAAGTACATTTTCTTCGTCAACGGTTTGACCACGATCTAACAGAATAAATAATTATCTGTTACAGCCGGACTCGAACGCGGTACCAGGAGCATACAAGTATAGTTCCTTATTCACTGAGCTACCTCGCTCCTTAAATTCAATAATATCTGTGCCATATTATGTACAATTCATGTCAGAAACAGCATATAATGAATTATTGTCTTCTTAAATTAATCTGGAATGGACTTCTTCCACCCATTTACATAAAACAAACAAAGAAACAATGATTAAATATTTAGATTCAAATAAAAAGTAAATTAAAAAAAAAACTGTGTTTCATTAGTCAAAGTTTTGGGCTGCGAAACAAATACCCATGTTCTATACAGTAGTAATCCGGAGTGATATAGTTTCGAATCATGCCAGAAAGGGTGTGCTTCGATCCAAATGATAATAAGGAATCAATATTGATGTGTTGGCAAAAGTGAATCCTAAATAAGTTGATGAATACTAAAGCGACCTCAAAATAATCGAAGTTTAAATAGGTCAATCTTTTTTTTTTTTTTAATTTTACTTATTTTTGAAGTTATTTTTATTTATTGTATATACTTTTTGATTATTGTGGAGTTGATATTTTTCTTCTGTTTATTTTTTCCTTTTTTATATACAATATGAATATGGTCTTACCTCACTATAATTATTGTCCAAGTGACAGAATATTCTATTACACAATAAATAAAAAAAATAATAATAATCGAATTAAACATATGTACGTAGTATGATGTAATATACATATGTTTCCTTAGCAGTACAAGGAAGGTTTTATGAAATTATATTCAAAAGATTTTTAAAAATTCTATTAAAAAAAATACCTCTATAGACTGTTGCTTTAGAGGAAAACACTCGGCATTCAAGCTCCGTCAGACTATTTCAATGAAGTCAATACCTACCTGGTATTAAGGCTATTTAATTTTAAATTTATATGATCTAAATAGTACGAATCATTTTTTTATATAAAAGTGTAAAAAAAAAAAAAAAACGATTTATTTCCTTTCATTTGCTTCTCTCGGCAAGGAAAACTTCAAAGAAACTTATCAGATACTTCGATCACTTGTGTATTAGAAAATGTTTTGAAAGGAATTATATCAATTCACGGAAGCTTTCTAAAACACCAAAAAACAAAGTATAACATTTTTCGAACATTTTAAGAAATTCCAATATCAACTTTCTTTCATCGAAATTATAGAATACATTTATGTTACTTTTTAGACTTCGAGAGGCCAAAAAGGCACAATTGAATTAATATTTTAGATTTTAAATTTAATATTATTACATTGAATAGATCTAATTTGATTTTTTTCTATTATGATTTTTGTAACCATACTTATAATTGATGAAGAGAATGATGATTGGGGTGATCAATCAGAAATAATAAGGCAAAATTAATAATAATATTTATTTTAACATTTGCCAATGTTTCGACCTGAAATTCATGCCTTCATCTGGGGCCGTTTATAGGGTCAGGTGTGTTCAGCTAGGAGTTCCACTTAGAACCAGTTCTTATGTTAAAATAAATATTATTATTTATTTTTGCCTTTTTATTTCTGACTGATCACCCCAACTATCCTTCTCTTCATTATTGACGACAGTCAACCATCAACCCACAATCAAATTTATAACTATCCCTTCATTGTTATTTTTTGTTTAAGTATCAGTTTGTTTACTTTAAAAAAAAACAGATTTTTTTATTCCTTAAATCTTATTTATTTATTATTCCACACTGCCCTGCCTTTAAAGCAATATGAGTATTTTCAGCAGTGGGATGTTTGTGTTCATAGCGATCCACTGCTGAATTTTTAAGCAATTTACACTTTATCTTCTTTCTTGCTTCGCGCTTACTTCTTAGGTTCGGTTTGTTCTCTTCTTCTTCTTATTCCAGTGGTATAGATGGTGTAGCTCATCCTATTCTTCCCAGAGATGTGGGTTGATACAATTAATTCTTTCCATCCGTTAATGGACGTTTCGAAGATGTTATCATTGTATTTGGCAATTAATTGAAGGAGATCAATCTCCGTAAAGATTTTTTTTTTCCTTTCTTTTTTTTTTTTTGTTCCTTCCCATCCTCATCTTTTAGGCTACACAAGGTTTTCAACAGCGAGAGATTGAGGGCGGGGAATTAATGGAGTTAAAAGTCCCTCCTTCTAACGCAACTCACACAAACTCATAATTATTTATCTAATTATCTTTGATACGGGTTGCAGCACACGCATTAGCCCGCTCGACCACTCCCATTATCTGTAAGAATATAAAGGTTTGTCTCCCTCAACAGCTTCGCCCTGAGTGTCTCATAAGCGGTATAGGCTAGTGCCATGTACTCAGCGGATTCCGGTACCCTACAATTTAGGCATAGGGAATCGCTGTTTACCCTAAACTCAACAAGCAGTAGTCTGGGAGGACCCGAATAGCCGCGATCGAATTCTAGCCGCGATTCGAAGATGGGAAAGTACTCTCTCAGAGTTGCCTCTTTTGGAGTCATCTACCGACGCTTCGGTTCCATTCTTCCTTCAATCAATACAATTTTTTTTTAGATCTTTTTGTGACCCCTGTTAGTAAATAATAATGGAGTGTTTACTTCAATCCCCAAAATACCTGAGATATCTCCCGGTCATATATGTATCTTCTTATATGTTTCAGTGCTCAAAAATAGGTAAATGTTAATTATATTTCTATTTTTAAGTTATGAAAAGAATTTTTTGTTTCATCTTTATTGAACAATACATTATAGAAATTAGCATTCCAGAAGATTTTTTTCTGCTTTTTTTAAAGGTACGAATTTACATTTTTCTGAAAAAAGAAGTCATAAATTAATCACGAATAGCTAAAAAAAAACGTTTGCCAAGTAAGGTCAGTATAGCTTCCTCACCGTTTCCGTTGTATATTACAAGGTATACAATTTTTCGTATGAGAATAAAATCTCTGAGAGAAGAAGAATCGGAATAGCCGATTACAGTTACCCTTCAACATTCAACAAAAGAGTGTCGTATTTGAAGATTCAATACTTGATTATGCTTAATAAAAAAAACAAAACAAAATGCATACTGAACATGAATTTCAATACTGTTAGTGCAAAAGGTCTTACGTACAAATTTATTTATTGTTTTACAAGATTGCATAAAAACTAATAATTTCTTTATGGTTTATTAGAATAATTTCATATTTTATTGTCATCTGCTATTTTCCATAGTAGCAGACTACCTATATCAGATGCAGACTACAAAATGTCACCATTAACACATAGAATTAAAGCTGAAAATTTTTACATTCCAACTTTTGCTCTGATAATAGTGATATACACTATCGGATCCAGAGTAAATATTTAATTTGAAAAAAATCCACTGCAAATTATTTCACTATGGTATATTATTTCTAAACAATTATACATATAAAGTAACATTAAATTCCTAGTTATAAATAAAAATAAATAAAAGGTGATTCTAATTATTGGACTAAACTTTTTTTTTAATCATTAGTAATATGCTAAAAAATAGCATTACTTCAGTAACACATTCAAAAATCTAAACAAAAGATAAACCTTTTGCAATAGCACATATAAAAAAAAACTATAGACCATATCTTTGCTTCTAATTGTCCGATTTTAACGAATTTTTTTTTTTTTAGGAAATTCCGCAAACTTATAAAAAACCATATACAATATTAACAAAAATGTGTATACTTCTTGAGTTATTCGGAACTTAATTTTACCATCCCTCGTAACTTTTTTTTTATACGTTTGCGCGTGCGTAAGCGGAAGTGCTGGGTGGAATTTGATAAAATTGATATAGCGATTTTAAAATTCCACATATTAAAATTACACATATTAAAACATCTTTGAAACATCTCATCACAATATTAACAAAAATGTGTATACTTCTTGAGTTATACGGAATTTAATTTTACCATCCCTCGTATCTTTTTTTTTTTGAGGTTCTTTTCGTTGAAGTATGTTATATAGATAAATTTAAAGGGCGTAGAGAAAATGACTTTATCAAAGTTTCATTAAAATCAGTACATTCGTTTAGGCGCTACACTCTATAGCAACGCAGGTTTTTCGGCCGCCATTTCGAAACGAGAAGGCGAATAGTAATGTCGTTGAAGGAGGATCATCCTCTGGTGACCTCTGATTTTATATCCAAATTCGAAAAAAAATCGGTCCAGGGCAATGCGCGGACGGTGGACAGCGGACTAGTAGTGCATATATAAGAAAAAGTGGTGGACAGAATTCAATAAAATTGACCCTACGTTATTTTTTCACCAAAGTCTACCGTTTATCTAACTTTGAGCCAAATCGAACAAGCCCTTTCTGAAATATTGGCATATCTAAAAATATACGTTTGCGCGTGCGTAAGCGGAAGTGCTGGATGGAATTTGATAAAATTGATATGGGACCATCTAGGCACCAATCAGCATAATCCCTGAAAACTTCATGAAGATAAGATGAACGGTACTAGATGATATGCCCGTCACATCGATTTGACTACAGACAGACAGACAGACTGACGGACAGACAGACAGACAGACAGACACCGAACCAAATTTGATCCTCGATGTCTGAAACGTAAACGCGAGTGAAAATTTTCGATTCTGAGCAAAAAAAAAATTTTAATCTGTCGCACGAACACAATGCTTACCTACCTTATCGATATCAATTATTGTTTTACTTCATTAGTAATCCAAATATTAGTAGTGATTACTCACGATAATCAAATATCAATAATTAGTATTGCCTGTGTTAACATCATAATAATTGAGGACAACAGCCCACGAAGGCTGTTAGAGATTCCGGTTCTTCGGCAATGCGTTCTGCAATATGGTCAGCACCAAACTCCAACCTCAATCCTGACTAATGTAAGGCGATTATTTTAGAGTTGAGAGGGCTCAGAAGCATCTGTCAAACCGTTACTCGCAGCTTGACAGAGCTCTCTAGGTTTCTGTCCAGAGAAATGCCAAGCTATAAGGCAAGGATTTGAATTCGGTGAAGCGCGTTCGCGACTGAAATTCACATTAAAAAAAAAAAAAAAAAAAAAAAAAAAAAAAAAAAATATATATATATATATATATATATATATATATATATATATATATATATATATATATATATATATATATATATATATAATAAAACACATGAAAAAGTATTATGAAATTATGTTCGATATTGATGTTTTGCTATGAATATCTCGATGCCACTGAATGCATTTATTGTTTTTATTACAATTTTTTTTATATATTCAATAAGAATATTAATATAAAGCTACGTTAATAATGATTACGCTTTTCACATGTTGCATTTTTAGATTATTGTTTATTTTAATATTATTTAGATGCATTTACATACTTAATCATTTCCTATGGATTCAGCTTTCTTTCTTGCTTAAACTGAGAGCGTATTGACAAGAAGAATTGAATTTATTGTTTATGTTTTCCTTAGAAGTATGTATTTGTACAGTTTTACCATTGTATTTTAAGTCTTTTGTACATAGTTGTAAGTGTTATGTTCATAGTTCCATTAATTTTATAAATACCATGTTCACTTAATGCTGTCTTAACAATTAAATTTTCTTTTTTATACCTTAGGCCAGAGGTAATATCTTATATTTGTACGACGATGTTTTCTCAAGAGAATTTGTTTTAGAATAAAGTTATTTTCTATTCTATTCTAAATATGTAAAAAGAGTTTTGCACCATTTTCATCAAGTTTTAGATAAAACACTTTACATATATGAGAAATAAAGTCAATTAAATAAGTAAAGAGAAAAGAATAATTAATATACAGTAAAGTATATAATATGATTATATAAAAGAAAATATTGGATTTTGCCCCACGACCATTAAATTAGGGTTTATTTTAGGGTGGTACAGCTAAAGCGATGATGAGCGATGGAAAACTCCCAATTTTATTCAGTGAGGAGAACAAAGAAGAAAAATTAATTTCTTTATCAAACTACGCGTGAAATCAAACATTCGAAGTACTCTCCAGAATACGTATTAAAAAAAAATTAACTCAATTAATTCCTAGCAAGCAAATAGCTATAGAAGATCTAGTATCTGTTGAGGAGATTTCGTGGACATAAACTATTAAGAAATTATATTTTCATTTATGAAATCACTCCGAAATATCCTTTTAAAAATGTAGAGATAAAAATTATTATGATAAAATACAGTAATATATATTTCTTTTTTGGCTTTCAGGAGTTATGGTTTTTTTTTAATAAGGTATCAAACAAAATCAAATTTTATGAAAAAGTGACTAATTCCAATTTCAATTCTTGCATTCTTACAAAAAATTAATAAAATTAATTAGGAAATGCGGAAGGTTCTACAACTCAACAAAATAAATTTCGACGCGAATATGAAATCGTTCTAGTTTTATCAAGAATCTGCTGTTGAAACTGAACCGAGGCCTGTGTTTTAAAGCCCGATACAATTTATAAAAGGTTTTGGAGATAAAGCGTAGTTCTTACCAAAAGCCAATAAGATGATATGGTTGCCATGGGATACGCATAACATGTTTAAGTTTCAAAAATATAAATATTTCTATTGATGATTATCTTAAACGAACTAAACTCTGTTGAAAGATTAAATGAAAAAGAATAGTTCAGAAGTCCTTAGGGTACCATAAATAATATGGAAAAATATTTGATATTTTTAATAAAATGAATACAAACAATGGTGTATGGCTTTTATACTCTCATTAATAGACTCTTAGTAATGCTCTTAGTAATTGAAGGAATCACAAATATAGGCTCTTCAGCACTAAATAAATATTGCTTGAGCTAGGGATATTATATCAAAAGCCCGATATCGGTATTGCCTTCGATATTAATATCGGCCTATACCATCAAAATATCGTATTTGAAATAACGATGGTCAATATTTTCATAGATTTTAAAATATAAATACCAATATAAACGTCTAGCACATAGACGCATAAAAAAAGATGTTATTTTCCTCTTCAAATTAATTAGGGAAATATCAATTCTTTTACCTACTCTCTTTAATAAAATTAATTTGTCTTATTATTAACGTGTCAGTAATTTTTTGCAAGACGAATAGGCCTTAATTCGATGAGGCCTATTCATCTTGTAAATGAGGCGCCAAAATTTTGGGGATCGTTTGTTTGTTTAAACCCCTACGATTAACTAATCGGAAGTCTATAATTTTAAATTATATTTAATCCTCACTAAATTAAATTTTGATTGTACTTTCGGACTTAATGTATGAATTGAAAGTACTTTATCTATTTATTTTGTTTTGTTTTTATGTGAGGACTTAATATTCCATAAGCGGTCAAGTTTTAAACAAAGGAGTTTTCGTTCACTTCAACAAATAGCATTGAATTGTATCACTTAAAAAAAAAAAAAAATAAATTATGGTAACTCTAATACTCTAGACTCTAGCCTTAACTCAAAATGCTGTTGAAGGTGAAGTTTCAATCTCAGACTGACTCACATAAGCTGGTAGACAATATTAATCAACCTCGATGGTACGCACTTTATTAATTTAAACTAATAATTTTGATGTAATTTTATATATTTTTCAAACTTATTTCCGCAGCTTTAAGTTAAAGCATACTTGATAGTTGATATATATATATATATATATATATATATTTTTTTTTTTTTTGATATACTTGATATTTTTTCTTCTAGGGGCCATTTGTGGCCGCATTCGCTTCTTCTAACCTGGGTGACGTGTCTCCCAACATCGCGGGGCCCAGATGTGTCCTCTCTGGAGGACCTTGCGATGCTTATACTTCATCCTGTCCGGACAAAAAAGATAAGTGCATCGCCTTTGGACCTGGCAGGGACATGTTTGAGAGCACCCATATCATAGCGACCAGGATCATGGAAAGTGCATGGGTATGATATGACGTGATGATATATATATATATATATATATATATATATATATATATATATAATATATATATATATATATATATATATATATATATATATATTATATAATTAATGTAAAAATATAGCTTCATGGTGTACTTGTAAATTGATCAACATACAGTTAAGCACCATAATTAGATACACAGCAAACGTCTACGCCATACTAAATAATTATTTACAAAAACATCATGCCCAATGAATAAGTCTTTCGTCATTAGTCTCGAATTGTTAAACGTCTACTTGGGAAATTTTTTAGGCTTTTAAAATAACAACAACTAAAAGTTAAGTAGTTATGCAGGATTAATATTCATTCGCAACTTGCAACGCTTTTGAGACAAAAGGGCCAAACTACTGAGGGAAATCGGAATCTATATCATCACGGAGGACGATTTCTTTCAGCTAGTAAGCAAGTATAACAACCCATACTATGAAGTTTGCGTGTGCGGATGGAAGGAATTAGTAATCAAGAAGAGGGGAAGAAGGAAGAAAGAGAACAAATGGTACAAGTATTGTGCTGCTCCTTCCAAAAATCTGTATTGACGAGAAGCAAGGAGAATAAAATAAAAATTAACGATTAATATTTAAATTGAAGTTAGAATTTAGCATAAAACTTTTAGAAATAATTCATGTTTGATGGATTATTGTTATCGTTAAATAGAACACAAACAAAGAATTTAAACATAAGTTATCTACTTTTTTTATCTATTCGGCTTTCAGCGTCTAAAAAATTATTTAAAAATTAGCATTGATGACTACACGGACATCACAACGGACTTAACGACAAGGCCACAGCTGACATGCCTAACAGGAGACGACTAAATAGGAGCTGGATGAGAGATATTTCCTTTCTTGAATTAAGGAAATAAATCAAGACCAGGAAGAAGTGCTGCTGGATACTATTTTTTTTTCCTCATGCCTAAAATGTCAATTTTTCTTATTAGTTACAGCACATTTGCTTATTGTGAAGCTCAAGACAGTTGTGGATGGAAATATGAAGACAAAAAAAAAATGTTAAAACTTAAATTGTATTTATCAATTTATGTTTATACAGTACTTTCACTTTTAATTTCTACAGTAAAATATTGTTTATACTTAAAAATTAATATTCAACATGAGTCATCTATCTGAAAGTTTTAGTGATTTTTTAATTTTGTTAGTTAATGTTATCCAATTAAATATTAATCAGTAATTTTTATTACCTTGTTAATCAGATAAAATTTTATTAATTTTTAATAAACTTTTATTCATGATTAAATATTCCGACTATATATTCACTCATTTATTCAAATAGTAATCGGATAATGGATTTTATTTCGATGATTTAATTAATGTTGCTATCGTGTATGTTGTTTTACTATTAATACCATATTAATAGTACTAGTATCTAAATTTAAAAAAAGTACATGACGTTCATAAAATTGATGCATGGATAATATCTATATAAAGTTTTATTTTACATAGGACACATGGAAATCGAAAGGACAGCTGTTGAACGGTAAGGTTTCTGTTGTGCACCAATATGTTGACATGCCTTCACGAAATGTTCCCTACCGAAATCCCAAAACCGGAGAGGTATCAATGGTAGGTACTAAAATACCATATTATATTTTTTTTTTTTAACATTAAAACTTTAATTAACACTTTTAATAGCAGTTCAATTAAAGTGAACGCACCAGTTATGGACAGGGGGCCCAGTGACGGGCAACTTGGAATTAAAATGTAAATAATAAGCTTTCTTGTTGATTTGAAGGTTCCAGTTTTTCTAGATTGAAGAACAATGCCCTCTGTTAACAAATGTACGAACAGAGTTATCAAAAGAAAACTTTATAATGCCTATCATTGTTGTTTCTATAGTGCACAAGAGATGTGTGTGATTCATACTCTCCTACTAACAGTTTTACTAAAAGGAAGTTAAATATTTATATTACCTCATCTTTATAATTAAATAAAGATTTCAGATTTTTAAAATTTTTTTTTATACTAGACTGAAACGACAAGAAACCTCTCGACGTTTCCGATTAGTTCAGCACTTACTAGACAAACGCTCTAAACTTCCAATTAATTCCAAAAGACTCATATACATGACTATAATAAGGCCTATTTGGACTTACTGAGTTGAGCTATAATGATTAATATTTAAATGGCTCCACTAAACCATCGAATTACTCTTCTATCTAATCCATAAAGATGCAAAATCCTTCGTAAAACCCTCAATGCTCCCTATTTTGTTACTAATAAAACCATCCATAATGACCTTAATGTTCCTTTTGTTTCAGATCTGGCCCAATCCAGATACCTATCCTTCCATTATAAACTTCAGAATCATCCCAACCCTCTCGTTTCTAACCTTGCTCCCCCTTCGATTCCTGATAACCCTCCGAGGCGTCTGAAAAGAAGATGGCCCAGTGACCTTCTAATGTAGACATATCATTAGAGTGCTACCATTGGGTAGTTACTCAGGAGGTGTTTTCATGTCATTATATCCATATGTTAAAATTTACTGGATGTATTTATTTAATACAGTTGTAAATATCATTAAGAAATAAAAAAAGAAAAGATTTTTTCCTAGGTATGTCTATTACTGGTACCTACCTCCTGTCCATTACTAGAGCGATTGAATTTCGGGTTGTCCATCAGTAGTGCAAAAAGGTGTTGTTTTTTTTAATGGAGATTATATCTGCATAACTGATTTTTTTTTCTAATTTTAAAGTGTTAAATAGAAAAGGGATACCCTAGAGATTATAGAGAACTTTATAACTATAATAATTACGGCGTCATTAGCCAAAAAGTTCCTGAGCTATGTCCATCACTGGTGCGCTTACCCCAGTTGATGTATTTAAATATATAATTGGATTACATTCAGAGGGAGAAAAAATCATCTTTCTGAGTTTGAATTATTCACTATCGAAATGTAACTAAGCCTTGAATTATTTAACACCCAGTGATATATTGCTCCTTACTCTTTGCTTCTTCCTGATCAGGTCCGCGGCTGCTCTCCTGCCATGGGCTACAGCTTCGCCGCTGGGACGACCGACGGACCCGGGGCTTTCTCCTTCAAGCAGGGGACGACCACGACCAATCCTCTCTGGAACGCCCTCACAGACCTCTTGGCCGAACCAACACCTGAGCTCATAGCTTGCCACGCCCCCAAACCTATTCTTCTCGCTACTGGATTGGTAAGACTAGAACTGGGAAGTATTTAAAATAAAATATTTTAAGGAATAAAATATATAATACACTATGTCTCTGGTCATAACTAGTCAAGTCGACTTATCTTGAAATTGTGTTAAGTTCATGGGTACCCAGAAGGGGATTTCATGGCTTAAGTTGTACCATCAAAATTTATGAGGGGTCCATACGTTGACAGGGTTTTAAATTTTTGAGGATGGTAAATTTCAACAGGATTGTAAATTTTCGATTATAGACAAGGTTATAGCATAAAATAGACCACTCAAAGAATAATTGTGTATGAACTATGAGTTTTTAAATTCTACTTTCTTTTCCTCCCCCCCAGGAATTTATTTATTATACAAAATACAATATATAAATACATAAAGAAATATATATATACAAAAATTTCTAATTTCCTTTTCTTGCCCAAGGGCATTTTAAGGTAAAAGGGCTATGCACGCTGTATGCGTACTTTGCATCTGTGGCCAAGGACTTTTATTATACTAGTGGGCGTGGAGGAACCGCCTTGTTTAAATTCTACATTAGCTTGCACTATTTTTAAGAAGAAGAGAGCAATATAATATCTCGGGAGGAGGTTCATGCGCCATCGCCCTTTGGGGAGATGGACAACTATGGTTAAGTTGATCATTGTATGTTTGGGCTACAAGGCGGAAAACCCTAGAATTATCAACGCCTATGATTTTAATTATTTTAGTTCTCAGTTGAAACTTTTTAGAGGAGGGGAAGAAAGAATAGTTAATCATTATTTAACTCTTGGGTTCTTAAGCCAACTTTTTAAGAGGCAGGGTGGCCGAACGCCCGGCAACCCGATATATAAGATAATTTTTTATTTTTTTTATTTAGACATATCTGTCTCGTGGAGAATAATTATAGTGATAAATGAACACATTCACACCATATATACTGAAAATATAAAATTAACAAAAGTAAAATAATAACTAAATAATAATAAAGAAAAAACTTTGTACAATAAAAAATAAAATAACCTAAAGATAAGTAAACTAAAAACATGAAAACACAAATAAATACAATATATACAATCAGGTAGGGAACCCAAAGCTAGGCTTCTCCCTTAAATTATAGAAGGAAAAGAAGGACTCTGAGAGATCCCTGCGCTACTCTCTCAACCGTGTCACTGGTGCTAAAGCCAGTGATAAGATAATTAGATTAAAATATTAGCGAGTACGGGTCCCGGTGCCGAGTGGTCCTTTTACTCTGCCATTAATCCCCCGCCCTTACCTATTGGTCCGGGAAAACCCCTGTATATCCTAGAAAGCGAGAAACGGGAGAACAAAAAAAAATTTTCTTAAGCCTTTTGTAAAATTAGCAAATCTAGATCCCAATAGGTTTTTTTTATTACGATGAGAATTTTTCGGTATCTCATGAAAAAGACATTCGAATTGTTTCAAGTGTAGGCAACATATTTTCTCACTAGTTTTCCGTTTAACTAGTAATGGCCAGAGAACATAGATTTCTCTAACTATATTTACTTTTTAAAATATAAAAATAAGTATTTTTCTTTTCTTTCCATGACGCCCAAATACAAAGAATGTATTTTATTTTGAATTAAAAAAAACAAAATAAATTGCCAAAAGAGTAGTTTCCTTTCAGTATTTCAGCAAGTTTGGCTGCTTACAGGAGGATTTTCCCTTCTGATAATTAAGATAAGAAACTCTCAAAGTTGTTTCTAGAAAATTTTAATACAATTATCTTTTGTTATTACATTGATTAGCTTCAAAAATATTATTAAGGACTCAAGGATTTTGTCAGAGGAAAGGATATAAGATAATATTTTCTTAAATAAGGAAGTAAACGTGATCCGCCAGATGTTTCGTTAGAAAAAACATGCCTTTTCTCATTCCTGTAATAATATTTTTCCATTACTTTTCAGCTAAGAGAAAGAATTCATTCTATATAATACTTAACGAATATTTAAAATGAAATAATTTGACAAAATGTCACTTTTATGATAAATTCTTCAGAATTAATATATCAAACTATTATATTTTATTCTCAATTAAATATTTTAAAAGTATATTCCACTGTTTTATAGTATCTTATCAGCTTTTCTTCCCAGAATAAAAAATATTTTAAGGAAGTAATTATAAAGTGCTTTAACACGAGAGGTGAATATTTTGTATTTAAAATATTTCTTCTGAAAACAATTTAAGTATGTTTTAACTAAAATACACCATATTTTAAAAACAAAAAATGCTTTTTTTTTAATTTTAAATACTGTATTATAGAATAATAATGAAAATACATTTTTCCCAAGCCTAAGCTAGAAATACATTTTTTTTTATACTTTTGCATACATATGTTTATACTATATTCTCATTGGTAATCGTTCTATGGAAACCTGAAGTTGATATTCTGAGACCTCATCTCTGATATATGTAATCATAATGGTCTGCTTCATTTCAGATGAACTTCCCCGTCCAGTGGCAGCCAGCTATCGTTTCCACACAGCTTGGACAAATCGGCCCAATCAAGATCGCCTGCGTCCCCGGAGAATTCACTACCATGTCTGGGAGGAGGCTGAGGAAAATGCTAGCAGAAGCAACGGCAGTTTCACCCGAACAAGTCATCGTAGCTGGTCTTTGTAACACGTATTCCGACTACATCACTACTCCTGAAGAATATCAGGTAAGGAACTACTTTCAGTTAAACCACCAACGTATGAACCATAAACTAAATATAAATATTCTTTTTACTTAAAAAAAGTTATATTTAGCATTTTTTCCGTAATTTTTAATAATGAGAGACAGATGATTATTTAAAATAAACCATATTAAAGGTAATTTAGAGGAAGACGCATATCAACATTGGGCATTTAAGCCCTGTAAAAAGACATCAACGGGGATAAGACCTAAATGATATTAAAGACCACTTAATTATACAATATTTTAAAAGTTTACATTCAGTTAGTAAATTTCATTTAATTTCCTTGAAAACATGTGATATACGTTAAATATTATTAGTTTTCAAACATTATTATTTTTGCCACTCTCTGTTACCTTCTACAACTTTCTATATATTTTTTTAAAACTTATTTATTAAAAAATAAGTGTGTTCAGAGATCACATTCACAATCTATGTACAATAAATAAAATAAATTATACAGAAAAATAATATAAGAGAATGAGATATTGTTTTTCTACAATTCTCTGTTTTCCAACGATACCTATTATTAAACCTTTTTAGTACTGCCATACTTTATTTTCCGATCTCAACGAATTAAAATGCTGGAGGATAAAGACTTTAAATTTATTTATTTTTTCCTGCTTACAATATATTGTAAACAAAAAATACAGACTGAATATAAGCAATTACCGTTATAAATTTTGGGCAACGAGTAGTACAGTTAAATGAACAGTTCTGGTTTGTAAAATGGGGGTTGGTGGGCCGTTAGGCGGACCCCTCTAATTCTTCCTAAGTATATTATATTTTTTTTTTCCATTCAGTTAAATTACATTTTCCAAAAACACGTATTGTACCTAGTTGTGCCATAAATACTGTCACAAAAGTTTAAAATTGTTTACATCAATGGGTATTATTTAGATAATCCTTACCCCTATCAGGTTATTTTCTTTACATGTCTGGATGATAATCTCAATTAGTTTGTATTTTTCTTTAGCTCGGTTAACATGGAGTAGGATGATAAAGAAAACCGAATAGCTATGATCGCCTCACACAAAGTTTGAAAATGTAGGTCCTTTTTAAATTTTAACCCTTGAGTATTAGCCGTATGTTCGTGTATTGCACTATACATAGATATAATGAGACCCTATCTGTATGTGACAGACCTCGACCAAGACGTCCCCGCACTGTGAGAACGGCAAATACAGTGACTACTCGAATCAGAAGAAATCCTATTCGAAAACAACAAATCATGTCTCGGGAAATGGGAATCACTGTCAGATCTTTGTCTCGCATAGTAAAAATTGACCTAAAAAACGTCTCACTTTCCAAAAAAAAATTAGAGTGGATAGATAAAAAGAGCTCCTTGGCTGTTACATCAATGTTCTTCATCGAAAGGTGTTTTTTAGCGATGAGAACATTTTTACAATTAAAGAAACATTTTATCGCCACACACAGATCTAAAGAACCCAGGAAGTCATTGGAAACAGGTCATCACTCTTCCTCAGTGACGGCTTGGTGAGGAGTTCGCTTTGATGGCACAGAAAAGCTCCATTTTTGTGAGAAAGAAGTTTAAACAGACGCTAAATCTACCAGGACGATATTCTGGAACCTATTGTCAAGCCTCTAAATGATACTCTGTTTGCTGGAAGTCATTGGATTTTCCAGCTCACAAGGCCAGGTCAACTCAAAAGTCTCTGCAAAAGAACATTCCAGAGTTCATCTCTGCCATGGATTGGACCTCAAGAAGCCCTGTTCTCAACCCACCAGATCACCGGTTATGGTCCGAACTGGAGAGGATAACATACCACAGAGCACACCCTGACTAGGAAATCCTCAAACAATATCTGGTCCAGGAATTGAGCGGTTTCCTCAAGCAGTGCTGCTATTGATGACTGGCCACGGAGATTAAATGCCTTTGTCAAGGCTAAAGGGAGACATTTGGAGTAACTTTTTTTTTATTTTATTCAATATAGATTTACATTTATTATTAACAATATTTTGTAATAAAGTTTTTGAAAAAATTAATTTTTCTGTTGAAATCTGTATATATATTTCCTTGTAACAATATTTATGACAAAACTAGATAGAATAATGAAAGTAGCTTTACCAATATAACAAATAAATGAAATTTAATTTAGTTCCATACAGAAATATTTCATCGAATTTATAATTTAAGTACTTATTTGAGGAAACGGTTGGATCGATTTTAACGTTTGATGGCTTAAATTATTTAATGAAAGCACTTTTGAAAGTTTTGAAACAATTCGAGCTGAAAATATTGACCATTTATTACATAAAATGTATTAATCAATTTACACTTTTTGATTATTATTTAGTTTTTATTGTTCCCTTATTTATTTATTTTTTGTCCATATAGCGCGAATGTAATATTACCTCCCTATAAACATTGTCCAAGTGATACAATGTTATATTATTCAATAAATGAATAATAAGTTCAAAGATAAGTGAATTGAAGAAGCAAAAACACGCAAGAAGCAATGCACAAGTCCAAAAATTGTATTATTTTTCTTCATAATTTTATTTTCATTTCTCCAATTGATCAATGCACACATCTTCAATTAAAAAAAAATCAATTCCAAAACGCTATCTAGCAATTTTTTAAGCGAACGAAGCTGGATTGAATTTTAAGTGTGATAGCTTAAATTATTCAAGAAGATCCTGTAAGTATTTAAAATAATTTGAGCTAGAACTACTGATCCGTGATAAAATAAAATGAGTTTAATTAATTTGCAAAAAGCTATGTAACGACTTTTTAAGCGAGGGCTGGATTGATTTTTAATTTTTGTGGCTCAAATTATTAGTTTATAATAAATAGTTATAGATTTGTTTTTTGTTGTTGAGATTATTAGTTTATGTGAACGGCCATTAAAGTACGTTATACTATAAAGAATATGATACTGGTTTCATAACTACCAATTTTGTGTTGATTTCTCAAAGTAATCGGACGTTTATAATAAATAGCTTTGTAAAAGCACTACTATTATTATAAGGTATTATTTATAATATATGAAAATGTTGACTAGTATTAGGAAGGTTTCTCCGAGAACAGATAAGTTTGTATTTACTAGTCAGCTCAATGCATAATATAAGTTCAGTTAAAAATATATTACCGCTAATAAATAGTTTATTTTTATACACTATACTCCATGAAAAAATGTTACTATTTTTGTCTTTAATTAACCGAAGACTTTTAATTTTAATTAATTTTACCTCTGGGTCTTGCATCATAACTCCTACGATTAACGCTTGGTAGTATAAACTTCATTTGATATTATATTTTTTTATATTGTTCACAGGCTCAGAGGTACGAAGCCGCCTCAACGATTTACGGTCCATACACGTTGCCGATCTATATAAACCAATACAAAGCTCTGGCTGGTCATCTAAAATATGTAAGTAGCATGCCTTTGATAATTAGTTATTTATAAGAGGTTTTTTTTATTATTTGTTAGTTTTAAAATTTATCATCAAAATTAATTGATTTATTTAATTTCTCACCAATTTTCATTTACCTTTATGATCTACAGATTATTATACATATATAAATTATAAGCTGAATATAATAAATCAAAATGCGATAAAAATTAAATTTAAATTTTTTTTTTTTTTTTTTTTGCCTTCAGGGACTCAGAATCCCTTGGGCCAATGTAAATATTGTACAGAGGAGTGAGTGTGTTTTATTTATTTTACTACCATTTGGATTTAATCTGTTATTTTATTTATCTTGTATATTACTTTATCTTTTTTTTATACTTTGGTTTTTATATCTATTTTCCTTTCTTATGTACATATTGTGTGAATGAATACTATAGCTCTAGTACCAATGCCCTTCAGTGTGGCAGACTGTATAAATTACTCCATAAAATCATTTAAAAAAAGAAAAGATTCTATCGTTAAGCGCGATTTTGGTCTCTGAGACGTATTTCAGATTTTCTACATAGATACGTCTATAGACCAATCCTCGTCTACGGTCTTGTGATCTACGGTCCGAAAATCGCAGATCTAAATTCTTCCGATCGGAATGGGACACTGCATACAATGTTAGATTAGACTTGCTGGGCATTATTTTGACAGTGTAGACTTCACTCGGCGTCTTGAGGCGAGACACTTTCCAGTCGGTAATCCATTATTTAATAAATTAAGGCTGGAAGACGCCATGGTAATCTTCAGTTAGTTTTAAAACATTCTCGTTAGACCTCATGTATGACTTTGTAAAAAAAATCCGTAAAAAGCCGGACTAACCACTGGTTAGCTGAAACGAGTGGTTGGTCCGGCTGTTTACGGATTTTTTTACAAAGTCATACAGTTCTTTTCAAAACATGAGGTCTAACGTGAATGTTTTAAAACTAACTGAAAATTACCATGGCGTTTTACAATCTTAATTTATTATATAATGGATTACTGAACCTACGTCCTTCTTTTGCTCTGCGCGTCCACCAATCTTTACGTTTTCGCATTATTTCAATTGTAATTATCACTTTAAGCAGGAACTCATTTCATCAAAAAACGGTCCTCCATGGATGATTGCGAAGATGAGAAATTCATATCGTAGTGTGGACGCTAAACGAGACAAAGAACAGTTTCTCTAGGCGGTCTATAAAGAAATCGCACAAATGGTGTTCTTGTTTGTAGTAAGCTTTAGAGCTGGAAATACTCTTCTGTAGTGACATAAATATTTAAAAATATGGCATCGATAGTTTTTAAATTATAAAAGTAATTTGATAGAGTGAAACAACATATCGAAAATTTATTATATCGGGTATCGATTTTCTTCATATTTGAAAAAGAGAAGGCATGTACATATCTTACAAAAATATCGAAACATATAGGATAAATAGCTTTTAAATATGGGATAATGGCTCAAAGACTTATTTATTTATTTTTAAATAAATTCATGGTAGCCTAATAACATCCGTAAAATGTTAAAGGAAGAAACGACATATTGAAGCCGAAGAAAGAGCCACTTTCTAATATCTCTCATTCTATTTTAAGAGTGCGACATTTTGAATCTCATTCACGCTCCGTGACTGTGAATTTTGACATATATGAATTTGACACGAAGGGAGAGAGAGAGATAGATGTAGAGTGTGAATGAGAAAAAAAAAAACCTTAATGGAATACTTCAGCCGTTCGATTTTCGTAGAGGACGTGAGGTGGAAACATTTTTAGGAATTCCATGGGGGATTGAATTGGTTGATTTTATTACTGCTAAATCTTCCAGGTGATGTAGGCGAAGGTAGACGTCAAAACCTGTCAAAGGTTGGTTTATAGTTTTAGTGGTCAGGAGCTACAGACGAAAAACGTCACACACTATATATGTATGTATATATATATATATATATATATATATATATATATATATATATATATATATATATATATAGAGAGAGAGAGAGAGAGAGAGAGAGAGAGAGAGAGAATAGAATAGAAGAATCAACTTTATTCTGGGACACAGTCCCTTAAGAATAACAATATTGATCATAAAAATTAACATTAAATCTGGCCAAAATACATATTACAATAAAAGAATAACTAAAACGTAAGTAGTAACAGAAGTATTTACATGGCTATACAGATATATTAAAGAAAAAACATGAGCAATAACGTCACAATGCTGCTAAATAGTTGCTACAAACAATAAAGTATGAAATAACTAAATGAAATTGGAAAGGAACGATGGATTACTGTTGTTTTCAAAACATAGTAGTAATGAAAACAATAATAATAATAAAGTAGATAAATATGTACAATAAATGATTTACTTCTGTACCTTAATATGTTCAAATAAATACTTATAATGGTATTGTAAACATTAGAACAGTCTTATATAAAGTTTTTTCTAAACATTACGAAGTGCAATATTAAATAATTTGTCAGATAAAGCATCCCCTTGCCTAACCCCAGCTGTCATTGGAAAGCTATTGCTTACATTGCCTTTAATAACTACTTTTGCATTGCTATTATTCATAGTCATTTGCAATAACGTTATTAATTTTTTTGGAATTTGGGAAAAATTTGGGACTCAAGTAAGATATTTATTAATTTGCTTCTTATCACTCTATCGAAAGCTTGCCGGCAATCTATGAACAACATATGCAGGCCACTCTTATATTCCCAGGCTTTTTGCATTACCTGTCTGATCACAAAACTCTGATCAGTTCCTCTCCCGTTCCTAAATCCACACTGGTTTTCCTTCAGTATGTTCTCTGCAAACACGTTGAGCATCACAGAGAGAATGCTTGAAAATATTTTATAGGCTACAGCCAATAGAGTAATGCCTAAGTAACTCTCGCATTGAAGTTTATCTCTTTTTTTATATATCGACCATATCAGACTGGTACACCACCCCTTAGGCATGATTTCACTACTCCAAACAGTAATGTATCCTCCAACAGTAAATTTATTTGGCATATCAATTCTTCTCCGAAGTATTCCGCAACCACCATATCCTCTCCAGGTGCTTTGTTAATTTTTCAATCGGCTCAGCCTCCTCTTCTATAGACAATGGCTCCAGGTCATCAACACACCCTTCTTCAACACCGCCAACCTTACATTCATTACCATTAGAGTTGAGCGATTCTGTGTAGAGCTCATCCCATCTACCTTGAACTCGGGAGCTCTCTAATACCACACCATTTTTATCTTTGCACCCGGTCATTTTTGTCTGAAAACCCTCACACATACACTTTACTGATTCATAGAATTTCCTTGTTGCTCTTAATTCTTCGATCTGCTCTTTTTAATTTTTTAATAAAATCTCGTTTCTTATTTCGAATAACGTTCTTTGCTTTTTTCCTACTTTCTCTAAATGCGGTCTTGTAGAGCCGTCCTACACTGATTTTTTTCAGGCAGGATTTCAAAGCATTCATCATAATTTCTTGTATCACTATTTGCCGATTGTCAATAATAAGTTGACATACGCAAATACATTTTTATAGACAAAAAACAATCGTGACTACTAGCACTGCACGCTAATTATTAATATTAAAACTCGTTTAAAAATTAAATAATTTTAATAGATGAAGAAAACTGAACTTAATAATGAGAAAATAGGTTTGAAGGCTTAGCACTAACGGGGCTGTCAGCTGCAATGTCATCACAGGATGTTCTTTTGCCTCGACACTCTTCCTTACCCACGCTCCGACAAGAAATTTAATTTCAAATATAATTTCAGTCTAAAATATTAACACCTTCTCAGGTATAGTTACTATCGCTGACAGAACATTGCAACATATATGACGTATATGCATGGAACGTATATGTATGTATGTGTGTGCAGTAACGGATTAAGCATTAAATTTTGCGAGGAGAAGGACGTTTTCTCGTTCAAAAAGAAACAATATAAAACTATCATTAAGTGGCATTTAAGATTTGTTCAGAATGAAAAATTAAAAAAAAAAATCATATGTACAACAACATTGTTTTAAGAGATTAAGTATTTTTATGAAACGTGGTTACGTTTATTACTTATATATGCGTTATAACTTTAAGAGATATTGTGATTGTTTAATTTTGTACCGAAAATTGCTAACAGAAAAAGAAAAAGAAAATTTTTTCTATTCCGTTGGAAAAGGGTCCTCCCCTTCTGATCCGGCACTGAGTGTATTTGCATCAGTGAATTACAATGTAGTCAAAACTTCATGAATTTAAAAGATTAAATAATTAAAATGCAGGCAGAGTCAGTAAATTTCAAAGGTATGGAGGGGAGAGGCCAACAAAGAACTAGTTAGTCCATACATCATGAAGATAGTGGATGGATGGAAGAGACGTTCTTGATGGATTATAGTTCTTATTAATCCATCAAGAACCTTCTACTCAACATCTTAATAAGAAACATATAAAAATACTTATTAAAACAAATATATATCTATTATATAATACAGTTTTTTAGTGTATATCATATTTTATTTTATTTTAGTATTAGGAAAGTTGGAGGTTACAGGGGCTCAACTCCTAGTTCTGTAATTAGCACTAATTACACAGATGTTTATTTAGTTACATATGTGTTGAGCTACTGTTGTCTAATACTCTCCTAATACAAAATTTTAGACAAAAGATGTTAGACTAAAAATATGTTATGAAATGGTATTTATTCATCTGAAGGTTTTAGTTTGATCTAACCTATGTGACAGTAGTTTTTTTTTCGATCTAAATATTTCCTCTAGTGAAATAATTATGAATATCATGAAATAGAAAAGGAAGCACAATATAACGAACAATGAATATATTAGAAATAAAAGGCTTCAATTATTGTAGGGCTTCTATAAAGCAGGACAAGTTGAATATTTATTATGGTTACAAATTGGCAATAATAATAATTATAATTATATAATAATATAAATTGGCAATATAATTTAAATTTTTAAATATTTCCTCTAGTGAAATAATTATG